AAAAGCATCAATTCTTCAGTGGTCAGCCTTGATATTCCTTTGGATACTAAGGGGTAAAATGAAGGTGAAACAGAAAATGTTCTCTTCCCCCTTTATTACCTATATTCATCTGATCTTTCTTCCTAGAAGTTTAGGGCCATTTACATCTCCACATACCCGTTTATTATGTATAAAGCATCCCGGAGTGGCAGACTAAGATAAATCTAGTGAAGCTAAAGGCTGCCCAGTGAAACATCACTACGAAGATTGCAACCCTGATCTCCCTGTTCAACACTTCGTCTCTTCCTTCTGTTCCTTTCTCGAAACTTAGATTATGCGATCTTTAAAAGATGCCCAGTGGCTTCCTATCAGGCACCTCCCTGGTATCTCTCGTAATATTTAAGTGCGTTGTTAGTTCTTGAGTCTCACAAGACTTGGGAAACCATTTGAGAACAAGCCAATTTTAAGCAGAAGCCGTCACTTCAGGGAAGTAATGTTGAATTTATGAAACCTGTGGTTAATTTTATTTTGGAACTAAGTCAGGTTCCTAGTCTGTTCTCTCAATTGATTCAAGACATGTGGTCTTTACTTACTAACGGTGTGCAGTTAGGGGCAAAGAATGAGTGGGAAAAGGAAGCAGTCACATGAAACAAGGAAACTGGTGTGTAAGACTACACAACATAATCTCTTGAAGGAGTCAAATTGGATTTTCATTAATATTTTGGATTATTGAAGGACATTTTGGAGGGTGGTCAACATCGAAACAACATGACAACATTTGAACTGAGGAGTGGTATAAAATGATAGTTTGCAATTCATTTTATTCTTATTCATTGTTTAAAATTTAATTAGCAGTTTTTAAAGACATTGACAGGGTGGCTCTTCAGGGATTAACAATCTAAAGACTTGCCTTCTTGTTTCCATAGCAACCCTGAATCTCCAGCCTTTCAAAGCAGCCTCATGTACTGCAGAGGTATTAGATTCAGCAGAATTATGTTAACAGTCAAGTGTCTTTCCATTTTCAAACTGCTTGCTCTATAAAAACAGGTTACACTTGGATTTAGAAAAAAAGTGTGGGTATAGAACCCTTTCCAAATAGAATTCAATAATGTTAGGTTTTTTCCTGTTTGTTTTTTTTAATAATTTGCAAATAGAAGCTTTTTTTGTCTTTATTAGGGGTGATGTGGATTTTGCAAAAGCTTAGCTAAACAAGAGGCAACTATTCATTGCTGGCCAGCTGACACAATACAAGCAAGCTCTCTGTTACTGTCTTCAGCATATTATGCAGTTCTTACAATAGTAATAACATTCTGTCAAACCAATTCCAGTTTATGGCAACCCTTTCCAGGGATTTCTTGGTATAGAATACACAGGAGAGGTCTACCATTCCCTTCTGCTGAGGGTGCCTCGAGACTGTACAGTTTAGCCAAGATCACACAGGTTGGCTGTTCTCCTGGGACCTGTAGTGGAGAATTGAACTCTCAAACTCTGGTTTGACAGCCAGATGCCTAGTTCATTGAGCTCTCCAGCCATTTCTTGCCAACCCATTTTGAAGGTCTCAATTAAAAGATGGCATGACATTCGGAACCTCCAGATATATGTAGCAGAAATGTATTCTACGCATTAGTGTGCAAAACCTATCATAATTCCGTCCTCTGCACACTTTTCTTATATATGTGGCATTCTTATGCTGATGCTAGTCAGACTACAGTACTATAAGCAATGTGGTCATGTAGCCTGATTTTCCATCATCTGTCATCTTTGGCCACTCACAGTCTTTGCAGTAATATATAATACCAGTCATAAACATACATTATGGATGTGAATTCTGTATTGCAATAAGAGGCCTTTTTTTCTTTTTGAAAACCTTGCTTTTAAAGAAAAGGCTATTAAAATTTTCCTAAAATGATCCGCCATCATTTGGATTGCAGGTGATGATGATGATAACAGAAAACTAGTAATTTTTATGTTCCTAATCACATTTGCGGTGTAGTTAGTTAATGTCAGTAAAATTGAAAATCCAGAAAAGAAATCCTATGTAGATATGAAAGCAGAAGGCACACCTGCAAACCTCTCTGATGAAAAACAGAGGAGCTTTCGGGACGTCAGACTTTCTATCAAAGGTGGATTCATATCATTGTCCAAATTTGCAGCTGGGGAGACCATCTACTTCTTGACTCAGAGTATAATTTATTTAATGGAAAACCAGCCATGTATTCAGATGCTAATGCAGTCTCTGCTTGTGGAAATCAGCAGAATGAAGTTGGGAAAGCAGAGCATGTTTTCTCGATAGATTTCTGGCATGATTAGTCTTTTTAGACTAGTGTGCAAGAATAGCTTTTATTTCCCCTCTATCAGTATTTTCCATTTTTGGTTCCAGATACACAGCTGAAAGAAAACTAAAGCAGTGATTCATTCTGTACTCTCTCCCAAAAAGAGAAGAAAAGAAAGGGAGGGGAGAAAGAGAAAAAAGAAAAGAAAAAGTGTTCTTTGCTAACAATAGTGGCTGCTTCACTGGGTGGCCTTTCTGTCTCTGAACTGGTTTCCATGCTACTGTTGTACATCCTCAGATGCTGGTTAAATAATGCACGAGCTGGAAAAGATCTGGTGCTAGCACAAGACCTAGGTTAGATGTTAGGGCCATTCTAGCTGTGATGTAAAATAACCATTTCATTACATATATTAAGGAATGTTTATGTTAGCTGCACGCGTGGCCATTAGTCGTATGATATAACAAACTAAGATTCCACAGGGCCCCTAAGTTAACTGGTTATAAGGAGTGTATTGGTGCTCACCACCTGGTTGTTTCCCACATGCTCTGTGATTTGTTCAATGTCTTAGTGTAAATGTGGGCTCAGATTCCTCTCTAGGTTTGTTCTTTCCCAAGAAATGAGAGAGGGAGGGAATCCAGGCTTTGTTTTTGGTTTCTTCCTCTGGTTTGTTGGGACAACCAGTGGAGGTGTTTAGCTCCAGTGGGAGCAACTGAGTTGTGTGCGGCAGACCACTGCTACGTGACAAGCCAGAATTCCAGTTATTCCCTGGCTTGTTTTGTCATTCAAAGGCAGCTTACCTTGACAAGCAATGGCAGTGGCTTTTTTTTAAAGTGTACTTTCTGTAGCAAATGGTTCTACGGCTGCTTGCACTGATGCAGTCATAATTTGGCAGTCTGTCATGTTTCGCCATAACATTTCATTTCAGAGCATGGGTGGGAGTAGGGAGAGATGGCAGCCTTTGCTGGATTCCTGCAAGGGCAGGAAACTAAGACATTCAATTTTGGAGTTCAAGGAGAGAAGGGGGAAAAAAACTCTATATACAACTGGTGCAGATGATAATTCTTAATATTAACTTCATTGTTTTAAGTCAATGATTTGGTAAGCATAGTTTTTTTTTAGTATAATGATTGAACATTTAGGTTTGTTTTTTTTAAAGTGTGAACTTATATGAGCACATTTTGCTGAACTGAGAACTCGCTTTTTCCTGCAGCACTAATCTACTTGATACTAGGCAGTTATTGCTAAGTGTCATTTGGTTTCTTTGGCATAAGTTTAGAAGGGTGTGTGTGTGTTATTCTGTTTGAAAGTGAGATTTTCTTTGATTGTTGGCACCAAAAAGAACACAATGATGCCTGAAACAGTTCCCAGAAAACTGAGCTGCTGCTTTTCAGACTAAAAGAGTTTCCTTTGTCATCTTTCCTTTTTATGAGATTGAGAATATTGTACTGAATTTTCAAACCTTCAGTACCACTAATGAACAAAATGGTTCTTGATCTGAAACAGGTAAAAAGGAGGTAATGGAAGAGATAAGTGGGAGATAATGGACATTTGTATGAACAGAATTGGATCAGGACCTTAAAAGTCACATCACACGCTTGATTTTTTAAAAATGTTTGATTGTGAAAACGTTTACCCAATTGGAATCCCCACAGCCATACTTTGTGATCCTGTGGCTATGATCTTGTGGAGGGATGCAATGGCATAACAGACTTGCAGCCTGGTTCAGTGCATATTTCCTTAATGAATTTTGGGGAAAAGGTATACCTTAGTGTGTTGGCTGCATAGCTCAGTGAGTTGAGTCCCTTGCTCTGAATGTCAGGCCTTTGATTCCTTGCTGTGCCTTCCTGAAGAAGAACCAGGCTGTGCAACCTTGGGCAAGCTGCACAGTCCTGGAGTACCTCCTGAAAAAGGAATGGGAAACTATTTCTGGTACCCTGTACCTAGAAAACCCTGGAAGGATTTGCCATGAGTTGGAATAGACTTGGCAGCATGTAATTTATTGACCACGTTCATCCACACAACCATACATCCAATCACCATGTATGGGTGTGAAACCCAGACAGTTAAGAAAGCTGAAAGGAAACAAATTAATTTGTTTGAAATGTGTTGCTAGAGGAGAGCTTAACAGATACACTGGGCTGCCAGAAAGATGAACAAGTGGGTTCTAGATCAAATTGAGTCTGAACTATCTCTGGAGGCAGGAATGTTGAAACTGAGGCTGTCCTACTTTGGGCACATCATGAGAAGTCAGGATTCTATGGGAAAAAAACTTTAATCCTGGAAAAGACGGAAGGCTGCAGGAGAAGAGGAAGACCACACACGAGAGGGACTGACTCAGGCTTGAGTTTGCAAAAACCGAGCAGGGCAATTGAGGACAGGACATTTTGAAGATCTCTAATTCATGGGGTTGCCATACGTTGAGGGTGACTTGATGGCACATACCAAGAACAATTAATTTATGTTGCTCAGTGGTCAAACACATGCTCGACATGTAAAAGTCCCAGAGTTCAGTTCCTGGTGTCTCCAGGCAAAAGCTGATTGCAAAGGTTTCAGTTTGAAACCCTGAACTCAGTGGACCAATGATCTTAGTGTAAGGCAACTTCAATTTTTAAACATCTCTGAGGCATATCCTCTTGGTTTTCAGCAATGCTGCTGCTAATTGCTCAGTTCATCTGTGGTTGGGAGGACTAAGATTGTATTAACTGCCACTCCAGTATAATGATTAAAGTATTTCTCCTTTTCTCTTAGATGGCCAGTGTTTCTCTTGGGGATGGAATGAACACGGGATGTGTGGCAATGGAACAGAAGCTAACATTTGCACCCCTCAGCCCATTGAGACCCTTCATTCAGCAGAACCGCTCTTAATTGGATGTGGAGCTGGCCATTCTATGGCCTTCTGTCATTTCCCAGGCGTCAACCACTCACAGTAGAAATGTCAGCACCATTTGGGATTTATATTGTTCGCGCACTCAGTACAAACAACAGCGAACACCCTTGTTAATTTGAGAGCAACGGAGAATATTTTGATTCAGAATGCTGTTTTTAAGAAAAAATAAGTGGACAGAAATTAATGCTGATAGAAGCAGACACAAACTGATGGAAATTGTGATGAACATGAGTCAAAATTTCACTGGAAACAGGACTGAAATGGAACTTGGCTTTAACTGGCTGAATTCCTGGTTATTTCAGGAGTTTTGCGTAGTTGGACAAATGTATTTTTTAGGCTGCCAAGTCCCTGAATTGCCCAGCCATCATGGCCATTATGGTGGTGATGATAAGGTATCTGGGAGCTTTAGCCCAAAAGAGTTAACTTTTCCAAGCGTTAAGCTTTAGCGTATAGTCAAAAATTTGACCGAAGAGGAGAGATGCTATAGATGGATGAAGATAGAAGGCTGGACTTTGTCTGTACTTTAAAAAAAACTGTTTTAATACTTTTCTGCGAAACCTTGAATTCAGTATAAAGTATGGTATATGGGTGTTCTAAATAAGACAAAACAAAGGGAAGAATATGCATTCAGTTCAGTAGGTGTTGGACTATAAGGAATAATGCCAAAGTCTTCAGAAAAAGAGGCATTTTGACAAGAAAACCGAAAGAAGAGAGGGGTGGTGTATACCAGTATTCTGACAAGAAATTCCAGGCAAAAAGAATAATAAGGAAGAAGAGGTGGCATTTTAAAAGGCAGAGATGGCTGTGTCCAGAGAGTTCAGCTTTGACACATGTTACCATCGCCTTGGATGCTCATTTGTGGAGTTCCTCAGAGGTCATTTATCTCCCTCAACACTTTTCAACAAATTCTATATAAGTGAAAGTCCAAATGCATGTTGTTTGTTTGTAATGGGATGTAAATGAGAATGCTGCAATTAAAAAAATTGAAAAGGCCCTCTTGCACACTTTAGCAACTGATTTTTTGAAATGATAAAATTTGAGGCTGGGGAGGGGAACCCAAGGATGCTAGCCCCTCAAACCATAGCAATGTTGTCCCCCCCATCCCAAAAGGGCATAAAGGGATTTTTTATTAAAAGAAAGCCTTTTCACTGGGGAGCTTTGAAAATACTAAGGGTACATGCAGCTCATAGACCACATATTGCTCATCTGCGGTTTAATACACTAGGAAAGTTCTGATGTTGTTGACATGTAGATCCCATCAACTCTGGTGATAGAACTCTGGCTAGGGATTATGGGAATTGTATATTGTGAACATTGGAAACCACTACTTTGGACAACTGAGGCTGATTGAGCTGGAGCGGAAATAGTTACAGATGGAGATATGCACGCTATGAGAGTAGAAAAATGAAAGGCAAAGAAGGCCATGGAGGGCTTTGAAAGGCAAGGACAGAGTTTCATGATGGATTGGGAAGCCAGAGGAGGGATTTAAAGAGGATAAATGTACCATCTAACAAAGACAGATTGTTTTGTCAACCAAATTCTGGACATATCTATGGTGTCTGAAGTGTAATGTCAGACCAATAGACTGTGCATGGGATGCCTGCCATGTCACCAGCCTTTACAAAAGGTTGTAGGGAAGGCTTTATTCTTACTATACTGCCTTGGCACAATACAAAATATTATGTTGTAAGGTTATTGAATGATGGGATACTTTGTAATTGGGATAATATAGCACATTGTCTTGCAACAACTTGCTGTCTATAGTGACATGACCTGGCAATACATTGAATATGTGTGGAAAAGGACATGGAGGAATCATGAAAAAACAGCAGCACATTTCCTATGATCATGCTTTCTATTCCATGATGAAAGATGACCAACAATGCCCTTCTTCGTGTGGACCACAAAGTGATAACCTGGATTGCTTTGTAAGCCTTACCACGTTCTCTTGATATGTACATGTTCTTTTGGTGCCATTGATCCAAATCTACATGTTGACCTGTGGATTCACTTACTATGGGTAGTGTTCCTGACCTACTTGTTGACCTAATTGCAGGGATCTCAGATACATGAGTTGTCATTGCTCCCACCACTGTCCTGGCCCCATACAGTGAAATCCTATACGTGGCTCTGTGCGCGGAACAGGTCTTCTGCAAGCACATGCTTCCAACTCTGTGTCTAAAGACATTGCTGGTTTGGTGTGACACTTGCTTCATACATATTTCAGTAGTTATTTTAGTTAGTTTATATAGTATTCCAGATACTTTGGGAAAAGTAATGAAGAGAAGAATATGCCATGGGTTTTATATAGTGAAAACTGTAAAGATATATATCATTTAAAAAAATAATTGATACTTGAACTTTTTGGTAGCTGTTAAGTACTGTATTTGTTCTCTGGCAGTTTAGTGGAGAATTAGTCAGCTTTTATCTATTGCTTGAGAGAGCTGTCTAATGAAGTCTGTCAATTCACAATACAAAGCCAGACCTGTCAGTTCCTTCAGCATGGTATGGCAATAGATACACCAGGACTGAAATAAATATAAGAGGCCAGGGAAAGATGAAGAGAAAAATTACATCAGTTGCATAAGTGGAGCCATGTTATTATGTTATGTCACTCATTTTCTTTACCCAGATCATACAGAGAGCAAAGAAGAACCTGGCTGGATCAGACCCAAGGCTTATCCTGGTCTCTAGCATTCTGTTCCCACAGTGGCTAAGCAGACAGTTTGGGGAAGCCAACAAGCAGGACATGAGCACGGCAGTGTCTCTCCCCCCCTCCCCCCAATCAGCCTGTGATCCCTAGCATCTGAGAAGTTTACCTTCTGATATTGGAGGTGACAGATGGCAAGTATAATTACTACCCACTGCTAGCTTTATCCTCCATCAAGCTGTCTAATCATTCTTTTCAAGATGTGCAAGTTGGTTGACAGAATGGTACCTTGCAGCAAATTCATTTGTCTATGTGCTATATGGTAAAATTGTTCCTTGTATCTCTTTAGAATCTCTTGTCACACAGCTTCATCGGATGCCCTTAGACTCCAGTAGCATGAGGAAGGGGAAAACTATAGGTTCATCACATGGTTCATAATTTTATACACTTTTACACATTATACTTACATTTTGTCTAAGCTAAAGAACCACAAACATTGAATCTTTTCTTGGCAGGGAAGCTGATTGTTTTGGTAGCCATTTTCTGTATGCCTCCTATCCCTACAACATCCTTTTTTTGAGGTGCAGTTATTCACAACTTTACACAACATTCAAAATATGGTCACATCATAGATTTGTATACAGGCACTATATATTATTGGCTCAATTTCCGCTAATGTTCTTACATTGAATTTGTCCCTTTCCACCGCAGCTACATTAAAGATCCCACAATAAATCATGGGCCTGAAAAACATTAGGACAATCTTTCTCAAATAAGCATACAGGGGAGAACAGCTATTGCCCAGATTTTTATTGCTTAATATGAGATGGAGATGGCTGACTGACATAAGGAGCCTGCACCTCCGAGATAGCTGCCATGAAGTGTCAGTGATGTGATATAATGTAAGAAAAGTCTGAGCAAGCAGCAATGTAACTGATTGCAATAATTTTATTATCTGCTAGTAAAGTGAAGTTTGGTGACTTGCCCAGTGCTGATGCTGGGGAAGAGGTTGATCTTGGTTTCCCTGATCTGAATTTGTTCTAGTTTGTCTGAATCCTTCTTAAAGTGCAGTATACCAAACTGGACACAGTACTCAAGATGAAGCCTAACCAGTGTCGAATAGAGAAGGACTAGTATTTCATGGGATTTGGAGACTATATTACCGTTAATGTTATTTTATCATCAGATCAAGACTTCAATCTTATAACCACTTACCTGGGAGCAAGCGTTATTAAACATGTAAATAGACACATGTAGGATTGCACCAAGAAATCTACTATATTAAATATACTTCCTAAGGTGTAAGCCCACTGGATAGAATGTAACTTAATTTATAGGTAAAAATGCATAGGCTTCCAACATTAATCTGAAACTTTTCTTTAAATAAATATAATTCCTACAGAGTACACAAATCATTTTACTATGAATTGTAGATGAGCAAACTGTTGTTAATCACAAAGGAAGGAGCAGTGTAAGCTAAGAACAGTATGCAGACTTTGGTCATCTCAGGAAGCTTCTTCATTTCTGATTTTGCTTCTGGAGTTCTGGATCGAGACTGTATTAGCATAATAAAGTCAAGTCAAGAATGACAATTTCATGATGGCATTCCAAGTCAAAGGGAATTATACTTTTTTAAAAGAAAAAAAAGTTGTTTTAAAGGGCTTATAAAAATGTGATATTTGCATAACCTTTCTACAGGTGGTGCAGAATGCCGCGGCCAGACTCCTCAGCGGTGTGAAAAAATATCAACACTTTCCACCCCCGCGGGCCGCATTGCATTGGCTGCCCATCCGATTCCGCATCGACTTCAAAGTGTTGATGCTAACTTATAAAGCCCTAAACGGTTTAGGGCCTCGATACTTGGTGGAACGCCTACTTCCACCAAGATCTACCCGTGTCACTCGCGCGAGTCAGGAGGTGAGGCTGAGGAGCCTAACGCCGAGGGAGGCCCGGAAAGAAAAGACAAGAAATCGGGCCTTCTCGGCGGTGGCTCCTCGCCTCTGGAATAATCTACCCCCTGATATTCGTGCAGCTCCTTCGCTGGGTATTTTTAAAAATCAACTAAAAACACTGATGTTTCGGCAGGCCTTCCCCTTAGCCAATTCCTGATTTTCCCTTCTTTCCTTCTCCTAGTGTCTTTCCCACCTTGCCTAAAGTTTTCCCCTTATTTTAAAATTGTTTCTAATTATACTGTAATATTTTTGCTGTAAGCCGCCTAGAGTGGTCTTAATTGACTAGATAGGTGGGATATAAATAAAATAAAAATAAAAATAAAAATACAGTGATAAAATATAGAATGCCTTCTGTGTTGTATCCAATCGTCACAGCAAATGATTTTTCATATGTTTCTGCACAGGAATCATTCCAAATAAACAACAGAAGCAAATTTTATGAGCAGTCTAGAAAACCTGTTGTGATCAAATGTATACAACCAAGACTGCATCCATGGAAACCTGAGGATGGGATGTGGCGACTATTTTTGTCTGCATGCTGCTTTCTATTGCATGTACTGGCAACTGCTTAGAAAATGTTTAATTACACTTTAGTAGCAGCCATGAGCTGCTTTTTGCTGGTTTAAGATCTGAGAAGGTATTAATAAAAGAGAGAAAGGTGATTAACTCTGTTGCCTTGTGCCTTTCTCTGGTTCACATTGCATGCTTAATACATAGTGGCATGCACCTACATCTGTGCATTTTTCCTCATTCAGAAGTACATGCAGGGGATGTAATCTGAATTAAAACCCCTAGCATAGGCGTAGGGAAGTTTTACACTTTAAGTTTCCTCTCCACTATTGTCTCAACTGACCCCTCTGCAACTGTAATTTGTGTAGGGAGGGGGGAAAAGCTCTCTCTAAAGTAAATGAGCTTTTTCTCCTGGATTGTATGTGTGTTTTGATCTGGACTGGGATTAAGGCAGGGCTGTTGGCAAGTCTTGAGTCTGAGTCTCAAGTCTGAGTCCAAGACCTTGGTATCAAGTCCCAAGTCCCAGTCCCCAAGTCTCCCTATGAAAAATTAGCTCTTTTCCCCCAGAATAAAGAGAGGAGCTGGATAGGTTCTGAGTTGCAAACCGAGTCAAAGTCATGGGGTGGGCGGGGAACAAGTCAAGTCTTAGTCTAGTCACTGGTGCGACTTAAAACCAACTAGACAGCAAGTTTTGCAACTTCAGTTCCCATACCTGGATTAAGGTAAAGCCCATTACCTCTCAAATAAGGGTCATGATTCATATCAGCTTACTCATACTTTGGAATAAGAAAACAACAACACTAATATAGATAGCATGTTACAAGTGATGTATCTTTTGAGTCTTGGTGGTAGGTAATCCCACACAGACAAAAATAACCACAGATTTACATGCAAAGCTGCCCTAAGACTAGGCTGTGTGGCAAAAGAAGTTGTATAGAAGCAAATAAGTGCTTTAGAAACTGTGGGTCAAAAATCCCTTCTGCAGTATTCTTATGTTAATGCTGTGTCAGATGAAGAGATTGCTCTCTAGGGTTCAGCATAGTTTACTAGGAACAAAGTGTAAAAAAACAAGTATACTGGCTGGTGGAATTCTGGGACATGTAGTCCAAAATGTCCTCTCCTGGACTTTGGTTAGAAGGCATGTCTTAAGGCCTGTTGTTCAGTTAATGTAGGTGTGTATCTTACAGCTTCAAGCCTGCAGAGATACTTCGTAAATTAATTTGTTGCTGTTTGGACTGGAACTCCCATAAGGAAAATGGATATTTTTGCATCTGGCTAGCAAGCTGTCCTCATAGGATACCTCAAAGGGATGTCCTTTGCTTTCAGAAATCCGATGCTGCTCTATAGACTATGGCTCAAATCTCTTGGCATAGTTAAAGGAATTCTTTTTAGAGGCAAGTTGCTTTAAGCAAAGAAATCTGTGTAGACATTACATGCTGATTCACATATATCATATGCAGAAGATGAAGTGTTGTTGTTGTTGTTTAGTCATTAAGTTATGTCCGACTCTTCATGACCCCATGGACCAGAGCACGCCAGGCCCTCCTGTCTTCCACTGCCTCCCGGAGTTGGGTCAGATTCATGTTGGTTGCTTCGGTGACACTGTCCAAACAACTTGTCCTCTGTCGTCCCCTTCTCCTCTTGCCTTCACACTTTCCCAACATCAGGGTCTTTTCCAGGGAGATTTCTCATCAGATGGCCAAAGTATTGGAGCCTCAGCTTCCGGATGTGTCCTTCCAGTGAGCACTCAGGGTTGATTTCCTTTAGA